AATTAATTTAGATCTTAAAAAATTTCTAGAATCGTAATTTATCCAAATACATACCGAGATACTTGCAGATATCAATATCTCTTGAACTAGATGGAAAGCTTTCAGACGTCAAGAATTCCGGATAAAGCGTATCCTTGTATGAATTATCTCAAAGTCAGATCTTATCGGTAACGCAACTTGTAATACCAATTGACGCATATTGTTACTTTTTTATTACACTAAGGTTGAACCATCGATACTTCTGATAATCTCATAATTCCGATTTAGAAATTTTAGAAGCAAAACGTATGTCGATGCCGCACTTGAACTTGAAACAAAATCTTTCATTTTATATATTATTTTCTTTTTGATTTAATAAAGTGCAAAATAATTTTAGATAATTACAGGGTGCGCCAATATAGTCCGCACCCCTAAGATAGTTCATGGCTTCACATCTTTAGGTTTTTCTTGGTCTGTTAACCAATCAAAATGGAGATTCACTGTCAAATTATTGTCTAATACCGATATTTCATAAAGTAGGTAACAATTTCACTAATAATTTTCTAAAAAGGAAATACAAGATCTTTAACGTTAAATATAAGCTGTAAAGATAAAGGTGCCCATAGAGTCAGGCACATAACGAAATAATTTGGTGAATTAAATACCAAAAAGTTAAAATAATCTTAATAATAAGTCCAAGTTACGCAAAAACCGTAAAGGTAAATTAGGTTCACGTACTTCCAAAATTTTTAAATAAAAATATACCTCTGTAATGAGAAAATTTCTTAAATTTCTCATCCCCCAGCAAAAAATATGTCTATACGTTCATATTTTAAGGTGCCTACTTTATTATTTTCATCGGCTTTTCATAATAAACAGATACCTCGACAAATACCTGGAATAATGAAACAGGGAGCGTATACATTTCACTTCACTGAGGGAAATCGATTTTGCTAAGATAATCTGTATTATAACAACAATTTTCCTTATTAGTGTTACATTTAATAAATATTATTTTGCTAAAACGATTTTACTGCCTTAAGTCGTTGCTTTACTACGAGTAGAACAGGAATATCTTTATGGTGAATAGGTAGGTATATTTTTTCTAGCATTTCTTCCACTAAAGGTAAGACAGCTTATTGCACCAGGTAATTTACTTTAGTTAGTTGAGGCCTATCTATTAATGGTTAAAAATAATTTACCGATGGCTAGAAGGCTTGAAGAAAAATTTTTATCATAGTAGCTGGATCTTTTTTAATGCGTAGTAATCATAGTTGACATGCAGACGCACGAGCTACATAGACATATTGTATCCAACATTGCGACAGGAAAGATGCCTTGCCCGTCTTTTGTACAAGTAATAATATAACAATAAAATATTATGTCAATAACATAATAATGACCAACAAAGCTTTGGATGTGTGTTGTATATATATTATCAAACATAAAAATTAATATATGCATATAAAGGAGTATAGTTTTTCCGATCTCAGTTTCTGATCATACCCAGTCTGGTCGAACTAAACGTGGAGGTGGTAGAAATGTAAACGCCCAGTTGAAAAATGCGCGCGCGAGCAAACGGCGCACGAACACAGCCGCACTGGGCAACGGGTCATAAATTTCAGTTGTTGACAAATTGTCTAACAGTGCAGTGCAGTAATGCCGAGCAGTAATATATTTTAATGAAAATGTTTTTTTGATATGTCCATAACCAAAATTTACCATAAATATAATAAAATTGTTTGAGGATATAAATAATTAAAATATGTTGTTGGCCAAATGAATATATATATATAATAGAAATTTTCTACACATTATACACAAATTATTATTTATTGCTAGGTGTTTTTATACATGTTCATGACTTCGGAAAGACTATATTTATGTGTAGTGCCAGTGCCTATAATGCTCAACTTCGGCTTATATTTTTTTTTATGTTTAAAAAGTGGCGAGTATGTCTAATTGTAGATATTTTGTTTTTTACTTGTAGCTTTTTAAATATAAGGCAAAGTTTAGGGACAAGTCAATAATTGAATCTAGCTAAGTACCTACAAATAGTTATGGCAAATAAATCACTTATTAGTATTTAAAAAGTTATTTGTTTGAAGTAAAAAAAAATATATATTTGCTCGTATTGTCAATAATCTCGTCCTACGATGACAACTTAGCAACCGCGGTAAAAACTTGATAGGGTTTGTCTCAGTGTTGCAAGCTGTTTTTTTTTCGAAAGATCGAATTTTGCTCATAGAAAAAATATTATTTCTTTCTATAAAGATTGTTAATTAATATCCCGCACAATTAATAAAACAGTTATTCTAAGAATTCGTACCATAAAGCTATCAGTCATTTAGACGTATAACGACCTAAAATAACGTCATGGTTTACAACGCCAGTATTGATATACGTGAAGTTGATCAAACACATACACTTTTCTGGTCATGGCCCCCTTACTACTGAAGATAAATTCATCAATCACTGTATCCGTCATTACGTTCTATCAAAATCGCAGTGTTTTATTTAAGAAACATTGAATAACTTTTCAAAGCGATGTTGATTTATTTTCTTGGTAAAATATTCACATTTGGCTTATTACTCATTTCAAATTAAGTGCGTTGTTAAATTTTATTTTGATAATTTTAAATTTTGATGTAAAATAGTAAATGTCGAGTAATATTTATAATATATGTATTTTGATATTTCAAATTAAAACTGTGCATTTTTGGTTTTGAAGAGATAGACTTTTCTCGATTATGATACAAAATAGGATCACTATCCTTATTGCTATTTCTACGAGAAACAGTACATCTCCGAGCTGAGATTCCACGAACCGCTGTAGCAATTTATCTTGGTCTCGTCAAAAGAGGAAAGACTAAAAAAACTGTTAACATTGTACTGCACCAAATACCCGTCTATTTTCGTTTTCAAGGCGCCAGTAGCCTTTTTAAATTTACTGCATTGCAACTGCTCTCTTTTTCCTATTCTTTGTATGACTCTGGCCCACCCACGACTCTTGTTAAAAATTGCAACAACTTTCTGGGAAGTAAAAAAGCCTATCTGGATCTATATATTGAGTGAGTTAAGTAAGTTCTATATAAAATGTTATAGAAACATAAAATCAAGTTTCCTTTATTAAATTTCATAAAATTATATTAAAGTAAGGGGGTGATGATGTCTTTAACAAGAGCTTCAAAACTTTTATTAAAATTACACTAACAAGTCTGTCATGTTATGTTACTAAATTGGCAATGCCAACAATATCCAATAGTAGCGGCTAGGCTAGCTCCATAGTTGTAATGAAACGCCTACGTACATATCTCAAACTGGGGGTAATAAGGCCAATAAGAAAGTTTTGCTGATATAATCTGTATTATAATATGGATTTTGCTTATCAGTGTTACAACATCAGCAGCTGCTATAAAAGCTTTTGCTAGGGTAGAAGATTGTGCTATAGTTACTATAATAAGTAGTAAGATGGAATTGCAGGAAAAAATAAAAAGTTAACAAAAAAAAAACTCTGACTACAAGTAGGTTTCTTTACCAAAATGCTTTTTGTTATGATAGTAACCTAACTTTTCTGTGCAATACATTAGATTGGGTATTACACTGCATTTATAGCTGATGGTTCTAATGTATAATCCTTCACAGAACTGATCAAATCTTATGGAGGTTTCGACAAAATTTATTGTCGTGTTCAGGACAAAAGAAATAAATACATGTACCAAGTGATCACCATGATATCGATAAAAATGATAAATTTTATATAAAAGTTAATTTATACTGTAAGTCCACATTTTTCGTCTTACAGAAACGGATTGCGACAATGGAGACTTTTTTCACGATTTAAACACAAAAACATAAACCCTTTTTCATAAGTATATTAATTATATCCAGTCCATTTAATAAACCTATGATTTTGCGAAAAATATTATTGTGTGTTAATTCAAAAAACAGTATTTTTTTAGACACAATTTCTTCTATTAATTACGAATATTCCCCAAAAAATGTACAGAATGTTACATTTACAAGAGGTTAATTAAATTATAAGTAATATCACGTAAATGGCCTATTTGTGATTATTTTGACATTTTGACAAATTCGAGAAACCGCTCAATTTTGGACAATTCAGATCCTTGGAACCACAGTGTTTTCGCCATATTCCATCTTCGATTTAAACATCTCAGTTTCTATCCAATCCAAATATTACAGCTTAGACATTATCTTCCCAACTAAACTGTACGCGACCTTTAACCTTAATTAAGTGCTTCCCGAATAATCTTGTGCATAAAAAATTGTTATCTTTTTTACGTTGGCAGTGCTACCCCAGTGCGTAAAGGAAACCTATGACGGCCTACTATGACGTCAATCTGCAATGAATTTCATTTGTTCTGTATTGCTTGATAAATATGTCCTTTAAGCATCTATTACAAATGATATACTACTGCACACGTAGACTATCGAAAATAGCCGGCAAAATGGTTCATTAGAATAATAAAATTTACCATTAACTACATCTAAATAATCTATTTAATTCTCCATGTATAATTTAGATTGTTTGCGTATACAAGTACCTACATTTATTGTTTTTTTTTTTTTCGATAATTTGGTCCCTAAGTAAAAAACAGTAATTATTCCACCAAACGAAACTATAGGTACTTAGACGTGTTTAATAATTTAAATAATATTGTTTGCAACAAAAAAATTGTTGCGCATATGAATTAAAAAATTGAGAATAAGAGTGTTTTAGTTATTTCTGGTAGGGAGTAATTAATTAAAAATTGGTGGAATGAAAAAATAAATAAATAAAAATTCCATAAAGCTCTACTACGTTCAGCCGTCGGTTTTTCACTCCGGGTTTAAAAATAGACGGTGAGATGTAAATAAAACTTGAACTTGATACAGTCTGGAATAAGATTTACGGGCTTAACATATCCTAGTGCACGAGCCGCACAAATGCGAAGAAACTTTACTTTTAAGGGATCCAATCCTGACGGGGTGCAGTCTGAAAATAATCTGAGCCTTACCTCCGTTTTGGTAATCCTGTGCTTGGCGAGCTTCACCACCGCGAAGTTGCCCTTCCCGATAGTCCTTTCTATGTCGTAGAACCCTACCCGGATGGGGTTCTTGGTTATCCTCTCGCGCTCGCCCATTTCCCCGTTTTATGAATAAAAGTCTATTCGAAAACCACTAAACTATCTGGCGTCTACGATGTAACGCGGCTACGTATTGCTAAATTCGATGTCGGTATTGTCATTATTGTGCCTGGGGTCGATTGGGGCGATTCTAGAGATGCGACCACTGGAAAGCGCTGAGGACGACTGGCGGCCGTCAGCTGTTCCGCTATCCGACGCCGCTATCTTGCTCAGATCTAGTGCGCCGCGGAGAGGCGGTCGCGGCCGCCTTGACGTAAATATCAGCTTGCGCGGAGGATTTTCCATGTAGCCCGGGGTGATTTTATGGTGCCCCAAGCTTCGTTTTCGACTCTTCTTGACGTTATTAGATAATGGGGGTGCGGAGAGATATTAGATCAGACCGAGTTGATTAAATCGAATTGTTTGAGGAAAATTTCTCTATTAATATTTTATTATCAATACTGCGATATGCATCTACCATAAGTTTGTATTAAAATTAATGATTAATAGTCTAACGTGTTTGATTTGATAACATACGACGTAACACCTTCGTTCCTTCGTTATTATTGCTTTAATAGAAAACTACAGATTGCGCTCGTAAATTGTAACAAAATGTATCACTAAATTGCGTCAAAAGTTACAACGTATTTACTTATACAGGGTCGAAAAGTCCCCATGGTTCATCGACCGCTACGTGGGAGCGATAAAGTAAGTCATAGAAATCCGTTCGACAGAGAAAGATGGCTATAATGAAAGCGTCTAATAGTCACCACCCATTTCGCCCTTCCACAAATAAGATCCACTTCTTATTCATTATAGCCATCTTTCTCTATCGTACGGATTTCTATGACTTTCTTTATCGCTCTCACGTAACGGCCGATGAACCATGGGGATTTTCCGACCCTGTATTTAGTTGTAGCTGTAAATATGATAGATTCATATTTTGAACTCTACATTAAATGTAAATAGGAATTCATTCATTCTTAACACAGTTGTATCTGCTCAAATTTTTATTAGCAGTCCAACCAAGATGCAAAATTGGACAATAAAAGACCATTTCTGCGACTTTTAGGTATATATAATTATTCCGAAAGTAGACAATCAAAATTTCAAATGTTTCTAACTTATATATGAATTTAAGAAAGTGAATATGAAGCGACATCTATTATGTACTATCTGAATTATACTGAGAAATACAATACGCACTGTAATTGTTGCATTGAGTTTTGAATCACAGAACAATATCGTTGAGTGAGAATTTGTCACACGACATAAACTTTTTGAGTACTAGGTACTCACTATTTAAAAATTAACTTCCATATTTAATAATATTAATACCAAATTGAAAGCATCCATATAAGAGTGGTTCTAAGTTAATTTAATAGATGTCTGCCTCTCCATTGTAATCGGTAGTTCTCTTGTTTATAGATAACTTGTTTTTGTTTACATTCACCTGGTGTAGTTAACAAACTGTAGATGGTGCTTGCCTATAGAAACTTAAATTTTATTAGGATTTTAATTTCTATTTGCATATATAGGTATACTTTATATTTTCAACAATTTATTTTAAATGAAATCATTTTATTATTACCGAAAAATAAGAACAACAACACGAGTACACATGAGTGAAGATCTATAAAATTTGCTCAAATTTCACAGTTGAGTTGCTCTACTGATCGTTTATGAAGCTATGATCGGCACGTAGGACAGTATCGGCACATGCGCAGTTATTTGTTGTTTGTAGTTTTTATTGTCAGTAAGCTTTCACATGATGTTTGTGTCAATACTGTCAGTGTTTATGTTCGTTTGTGATGTAAATAATACAGTTTGAACATAAATATAAATCGCAAACTGTAAATCTTCACGTGGCATTGTAAAGTTAAGTTTTGGCAATGGATCATTTGGCTCAAGATCTCACAGTTGCTCTAGAAGAATCCGAATCCTGCGGTCCAATCGCTTTGGAAAACGGCGGAAAATGGGGCATGAGGCGAAGGACAAGGTCCGCTGGAAACTTACGTAAATATTACAAGTATTCTAAGAAAGGTGCGTCATAGAAAGTATGTATTTTAGATTTGTATTTGAACAGACCTGGGGATCACCATTCAGATGAAAGTTCTAGCAGTAATTCAGAAATGAGGACTGACAAGCACCGAAATAAATTGGTTAGCTTTCACCAGTCTGATTCGGATGACATGTCCCTCAGCATTGCAGTAGCTAAAGCCCTAAATCAAAGGACTTCTTTGAGAATGAAGCACCCTATCCACAATTTTTTACGAGGTATATACCATACTTTGCACTTCACTTCTCTGCTTCAAAATGGTAATTTAATATTTTTTTTGACTCGTTATTTTGTAATTTGATGGTTTAACGAACTTCAGCTTGTAAATTTGATTTTTTATTTAAAAGAAAACACATTCTATCAATTACTTAGGTGTTAGTCACAGTTTGGAAAGTGATTCCGTGAACGAACATTCTCCGGCTCGTCCAAATCTAAGAAGAAAAAGGAAGTTAAAGAGGATGAGCATTGACGAGACTCCCATCCCACCGTGCGGTAAAAGAAAGAGGTCTCAACGTTTGGAAATTGTAGACAATGGCAGATCTATCAGACATACTACAAAAATAAAACCTTTGCACCAGAGTATTGTGGATAAGATTGAGAAGTTCTGTCATCCAGGTCTAGCACCTGACGATGTGAGTATTAGAAATATCGATGTATATAATTTTAGCATTTTAATGTATATCATTTCCCGTAGCCAAATTCTATGGAAACCCAGAGTATTGACGACAACTGCGACATTGCCAGCGAGAGTAGCATTAGTTGGAGTGGTGGTGAGGGCCATGAAGGGGACGATGAATTAACCGATTGGGCTCCCTCTATGGACAATCCGTCTATTATAGACCAATCTCCTTGGAATGATACTGACCCTAGGGAAATCAGAGCAGGTAGCATGTCATTTTTAAGCGTTTCATAGATATTGTGACAATACAACAATATTTAAGGTTGCCGAAGGTTGAGGGAGGAGCGACCCAGCTTCAGTATTAGCACAGGAGCCAACGAAAGGGTGGCCAAATTCCTCCAGGATACTACAAAGTCCGAGTTGAGGATATACGGTGCAGAACGTGAGAAACTTGGGCAGCTGGCTGCCTTGTATTCTCTAGATTTGTGGTTTGAGAGCCCCAGTTCTTCCTTATTGAGGAAAACAAGTAGGACACCCTCAATGCAGCCGACACAAAGGCACCATTCCAGCTTGAGTGCTGTTCATAAAAGGCTCAGGATCCACAGCCACATCGTGTCGTAGAGTTTAAGTTGTCGTTGGATTATATTTATTTGATCGGTTTGACTTAATTTTAAGTTGTTTTCGAGCGGAACGGATCTAATTTTGTAATGTTTTTTAATTAATTCTTTCTTATCGAGGAAGCTAATTTTCAGTGTTAGTCACAAGAGAAGATTTGGTAGGAGTGGAGTGGAATTACTAGACGTACCTACATATCTGTGATTAAATTATTGCTGCTAGTTACGGTCCTGTCTAAAATAAAGAATTTGTTAATACATTAATATTTAATAAAGCATTTAATTTGTATCAGTGTTTGACTTTCGTGGAACTTGTTACAAACATCATTCTGTATGATAGACATCTATTGCATCAGAAGTGGGGGGTTCTATGCAAGTCTGAAGGGTTTTAATTGGACAAAGTTATGAAAGAAAACAATTAATAATGCATTGGGTGAAATGAGGTGCAGTTGAAGTGAATAAAAATAATTGGGAACAGTTAAGAACAAATTCAGGTAAGAGTATTAATATAAAGTAAAAAACAAAGAAATAGTGTTGGTAAAAAAACAGATGTTTTTGAGTTTATCTGCTATTAATGGCTTTGTGTTTAAATTTGAAATCAGAAGTGGGATATAGACAGGCTTAAGGGTGTCCTGCAAATCAAGACATCTAACAGTAAGTTTTAATAATGGATGGAGGTAAACTGAGGGCAATTTGGAGAGAAAACCCAAATGTAACAGTAAAAACAATAAGAAACTGACTTTTTTTGTATAATAAGAGAGAGACCTCCTGTTACTGTAAACTAAACAAATCATGGTGCGTCTTTTTTTCAAACCATGAAAGATTTTTAGTAATTTTTTATTGTTTACAGCTTTTTCGTAGTTTAATAATAACTGAATATGCCAGGGGTTATCTACATCAGTATTTAAAATAATCTGCAGAAAGTGGTAAATATACTTTTGAAAAATATAAATATAAAATATTTTATTATTAGCTCTCACATTGTTAATCTGTTATACAGCTAATTCAAATGATTTCAAAACATTGTATTCAAAAAAAGTCATCAAGTCTGTGTTTTGATACGAAAAAATGTAGGTATCTATCCTCACAAACAAGATTCCTAACTGTTGATATTGGGGTTACATTACATGTCACAATTAGCATTGAATTATACCATCCATATCTAGTAAAAAGCTAGTGGATAGGAAATCTGAAATAATGAAAAATGTCATGTCTAAATATTATTAATATAAAAGTGCATACCCGACAGTGAAAGTGTTATATATAAATAAAATATTTCAGATAAATATGTTCTATTTACTTGACTGATGTATAAAATAAAATTAATTAATATATTGATATTTAATAAAACATTGAATCTGAGTTGCTTGGAACCTGCTACATCATTTTATATAACAAGACTTAGTGCGTGGAAGTGGCATTTGCTGGGATTTAATTCAGCATGGAGGATAACAAATTCAGATGAATATGAAAAATTAAAAAAAGCAATTGTCGGGGAAAGAACAGAAGTGAGTGCGTGTGTCTTTGTGTTATGGATTTGTGTTTCAATTTGAAATCAGAAGTGGGATATAGGCAAGACTAAGAGTGTCCGGCAAATCAAGACATTTAGTAGTAAATTTTAATGAATGGAATCAAATCGAGGACCTTGAGAAGAAAACCCAAATATAACTAGTAGTGACAAACGCAATAATACAATTAAAACTTTTTGCGTAATAAAAGTAACGCTGTTATTCTATTGTAAACAAATAATTGCGCATCTGAAATTTAATAATCTTAAAATTTCCCAATAATCTTCAGTCCGTGAATGAGATTTTTTGACAATTTGTTATCGTTTGTACTTGTACAGTTTTTTTTAATAATTTAGTAATAACTGTGTATTTGCCAATGGTTATCTAAATCAATTTTTAAAATACTCAGCAGAAAATAAAAAATGTGCAATAATGTCTACAAAAAGGCGTTATGTGATTAAATTAATATTTCTTTTTTGCCTACTGTAATATAGTTCTATTATAAAATAGAAAAAATATAAACCTTGATAATTGGACATTATTTTTTGTTTTTGTAAACAAATTGAATAACAGGTAATAGATAATTGAAGTGCCTGTTGACCGACAATCCAAATTTGTTTTTGTTGTTATGGATTATGTTATAATAATTACATTTTGTCTTAAACAAACGCTTGCCTGATAATTTTGACACCTTGTATAGAAATATAGTACGTGTTTACCTGCAAGACGTTTTTGTTTTGTCAGAATATCAATATGTTGTGCATAGATAATAATATAAAATATTTTTGGGTATTTTAGCATTCCAAATGCATTAAATCCAGAATATATTTTGGTTGTCAGTAACTTCGCTGGCATGAGTTAAATTTAATTGAGCCTTAATAAATTTTCCATTAGGTACAGTTAAAACTTTGAAATTTATAACACGAAAAAGGAACTATGTATATACATTGTTCTGGAAAACCGACATACCTGCCCATAAGTAGGTGTGACTTCTTTTTCTGAACTGTTCCTGATAGCTGATAATTTTAATCAATTTTTTACCGAGATTTAATAGGAATTATTAGTTGTCTTAAAACATATCATGCGGAAATAATATCGCGAAGTTACTTAACAAATTCTTTACTCACTAATTACATTTCATAGCAAGATAGCATAATCCGGTGTGAAATGAAATTTTCGAATCTTTGTTTTACATTCTTTCCTTGTGATTTGGTATATCTGCAGCCAAAAAAACTATGTAATTTTAAAATCGTGTAGTAAAAGTATGATGACGAAAAAAACATGAGTTTACGACATATAAATAATATATATTAATTTATAACAAATTGGTATAAATAGTCATGTAAAATATTTGCCAAAACATTCGATTAAAAAAATGCGGGAGAAAGGTAGCTAGAAATTTAAAAAATAAATACAATTTTAATTTAATTGCCTTGTGGTTTTTTAGACCACGATAGTAATAAAATGTATTATTATTATAATTAAATTAAATTATAAATTGAGGAAATTCTCTTAAAACGTATAGAAATTCATCTGTCTTGAACGACAGAGGTTACTTAACTAACTTAAAAAAAACACTGTATATTTTGTGTTACAAAATTACTAAACTAGAGGCTTTGCTTTAAAATTTAATAATAATGTGAAAAAATCACTGCAAGTTCCTGAGAAAGATAATTTCCTTTTCCAACGACTGCAATTTGCTACCTATAAAAGAATTCTTTTACTGACTAAAAAAAGTTCTCTCTAATATCAAGTTATCGGTCTGGGGAGTTTTAAACGAACCACCCTGCACAGCCATTAATAAAATACGTAAAAGTATTATTCTTGCAAAATATATCAATCCTTAAATTAAATTTAGATAAAAACATTCAATTGTATGTACGTAAGCATTGAGAATGTTGGTACCTAATGTCAGTTTTTCTCAAATCATATTAATCATAAGTTCTACAGTGACAAAATCGTTAAAAAAATAAAAAGAACTCCTGCGCCCAGAGTTGCCAACTATATTTAATGGTATATGCCCATTTTTATAGTAAATACTGGCAGAAATCGCCAAATTTAAATGTCTACCAGAGGAAATAAATTTATCGAAGCTTCTTGTGTAAGGTATCTAAATAAAGATAATATAACTTATCATAATAAAGAAATTTATTGAGCAGTAAAATAATATACCACAGTGGAATATCTGATCAAACATAAATTGGGTCTTTGGTCCTGTTTTTTTTTTATACGTGCGTTGTCCGCTATTTAATACTTATTACTTTATGTTTATTAATATTTATTTTAAACGTTTTTATACATATACAGGTATGTATGTACTGAATTACATTATTGTTTATATTTTTTTAGTAAAAGAAAGTTTTGTTCCTTATTTATTAATCGGTCGATAGTCGCACGGTTTAAGGCGTCAGTACTTAAATCGATGTGTGCTAATTCTGGCCGGGTTCGATTCCCGCGGCCGGTAGACCGTAGTTTAGCTATGCTTGTACGGAAGATTGGCACCCTCTATGCAGGTATGGTAGGGTGGAAGAATGTTGGCTTGGGTCAATGTGAGAGATTGACACAGGTTGGCATTTGACCACCCCCCTAATTAATGAGGTTTTCCAGGTTTCCCCCATTCCTGCACTGAATGGTGGTTAGGGCCTACCAACATAAGTCGTTCCTGGGCGCAAATTCGGCCTGCTTAATAATAATAATAATATGCCGCCTCCTCTCCCGCACAAGTCTCCGACTTCTGGGCTAATTCTCGTAGTTAGAATGAGGAGTAGAGATATTATTATTATTTAACTTTCCCTATGGCATGCACTTGAAATAACACGTGTTGGATAAATTTATTACTGATAAAGCTGTGATGTTGACGTGAGTACATAAGTTATTACTCCTTGTTTCTTTTAATAATTTTATAAAAAAAAATAAAATAAAAAAATAAGAGATTTAAACGAAGCGGACAGCTGAAATAGGTATTTTTAGAACTCTTTATTTTGCTTTACTTTCATAAAATCTTTTCTATTTCAGAGAATATATCTCCATTTGAATAGTTTTTATATGTTAATAATTTAACAGCTACTTACCGGTAAATATGTTTTTTTTTATATAGTCAGGTTAGCATGAATTGTTTGCTGTTTTTTAGTACTAACTACGCTCGACATAATTAAATACAATTATTTATTCATCAAAAGACAACTAAAATCGTAAAAGAAATCGGTCACGTCACGTTGATATACTGTTGTCTTTGTTATCGTGCTGATTTTGCATAATTAATTCCTATCCGTTGGTGTTTATTGTGGTGTATTGTAGACAATCTAATTTGTTGCTTTTTAACAAATAATGCATACGTACGCCTATGTTCCGCGGCTCAGTTCTGACAGCCCTAATGATTAATCTCTGAGGACCGTCGCTAAATCGAATTATAAGTTTAAAATGATCCATATCAACATTTCTCATCAGTTGTGGATACTGGTTGTTTTCGTTATTGTATTGACAAATGACAGTCCACCAACAACATATTACCAATTCTTTAAGCAGATTTCAAAAGGCAATATCCAGCTGTTCCACTTTTTTTTTTCATTAGTAAGTTTACATAGTACAATAATACCGATTTATTTAGAAAGGCTGAAGCCGGTCATCTGTGAACAGCTCAACTTTTTTGTTTAATTAGTAATTTATGGACTATTTCGAGAGTAAAAGTGGATTTGATATTATGCAAATGCGCTCGAGCCCAAGTAATCGATTTGAGTAAAATAATTGCAAGAGTCTCAAGTCGGATTAAAGGAATTCAG